CGTGCGCTCTCGTGTCGCGGCGCTCTCTTGTTGTGCGCTCTGGTGTCGCGGTGCTCTTCAGTCGTGCGCCGTCGTGTCGCGGCGCTCTCCCGTCGTGCGCTCTGGTGTCGAGGCGCTGTGCTGTCGTTGGCTCTCGTGTCGCGGCGCTCTCCCGTCTTGCGCTCTGGTGTCGCGGCGCTCTGCTGTCGTGCGCTCTCGTGTCGCGGCGCTCTCCTGTCGTGCCCTCTGGTTTTGCGGCGCTCTGGTGTCATGCACTCTCGTGTCGCGGCGCTCTCCCGTCTTGCGCTCTGGCGCCGCGGCACTCTGCTGTCCTGCGCTCTCATGTCGCGGCGCTCTCACGTCGTGCGCACTGGTGTCGCGCCCCTCTGCTGTCGTGCGCTCTCGTGTCGCGGCGCCCTCCCGTCGTGCGCTCTGGTGTCGAGGCGCTGTGCTGTCGTGTGCTCCCGTTTTACGGCGCTCTCCTCTCGTGCGCCCTGGTGTCGCGCCGCTCTGCTGTCGTGCGGTCTCGTGTCGCGCGCTCTGGTGAATCGGCGCTCTACTGTCCTGCGCTCTCGTGTCGCGGCGCTCTCCTGTCGTGCGCTCTTGTGTCGCGCCGTTCTGCTGTCGAACACTCTCGTATCGCTGCGCTCTCCTGTCGTGCTCCTATATAAAATCGCTCTGAGGGGACTTCAGGAATTCTTTAAAGGGTGTGAAGGGGACTTCAGGAATTCTTCTGATGTTTGGAGGGTGCACCGATATTTCCTGGTGCGTTCGTTGGCCCCATCGGAGGCTCTCCTGAAATATCTTAAGTCCCCTTTACAATGCCTTGAAATGTCTGAAAGCCTGTCAAGAACTTTTCTAATGGGGTCGGGAAAACCTTCAGGCTTCTTGAGTTGTCTGTGAGGCCACGGCCTAGGAGAAAAAAACATATTTCGCACAATTAGAACATAGCTACGTATTGTTCGCCAAGGGAAAACAAATAATGATTTGGAGAATGTTGATCATATGGTGTAAGGTCAGGTTTTATTATTGCTCTCCTATCAAACACAACTGGGCTCCTCGACCCGTCTGTCGCTGGCCGGGTGTTCGGTCGCCAAGGGGGCTACGGGTTCGATCGCCCCATGTGGAGAATCGGCAAGGCGCGGGCCGAGTGTTGTTGGCCGAGTGGAGTTTCGAGGCGAACAAGCTTTAGTTGTTGCACTAATAATAATACAAAAGGGCAAGCCGAGAGCAGCGCGTTGCCCAAATACAGGGACGCTGGGGAGGTTCCGAGGGCGAAGCAAGTAAACGGGGGAGGGTCGCAAAGATTTATGGGTGTAGTGGTTTTGTTTTAAAAAAAAAATCCTAGTGGGATTTTGGCATCAGAAAGTAGGGAGCAGCGTAGTGTATCGACTACAGAAACCGCTACTACATGGCGCCACCTCCCTGCAACTATTCAGAGCCTGTATTGCTGTGTCCATCTGTTCCATCGAAGTCACGGGGTTTATATGTTGCACTCTCAATAGAGGTGTGAGCAGGGGCCGTTTGCTCGAAGCGCGGTGAAGCGCTAACCGTGGCTAAAGCTAGCCGCAGTACCTAGGAGACGGATCTTGATATCACGTGACTGGCTCGGTAGGGATGCGGGGAGGCACGCATGGCCCCATCGCTTCGTTTGACAAAATGGCAGCGGCGTACGCAGTTTCGACGTTCGCGACCGCATTGGTGTTTCTCTTCAGAGCCCGTTTGCTCGAGGTCGGTTAACTTTAACCGCGGTTAAAATTTAACTGCCCTTCCCTACTAGGTACCTACAAGCACCTAGCTAAGTTTGACGATGGCTGAATGAGCGACAGCTCCGTGTTTTATTATGGGGTGGTAGCTGGTCTCGCCTACTAGTTGTAGCGAATATATGTGGCTTGCGTGGATAAAGTTCCCAGAAGGGGGGCACCAAAGAACGCGCGCTACTGTGTTTCCACGACGCAGCGCGGCATACAGTTCAGTAGACAATTTTTTTGCTGCTCGTGGTACAGATATAGGGTACACTCTAAAAAAAAAGGGAGCGTGACTTAGTCCCTCCGGGGAGTAAATGCGCTGCCACTACCATTAGTCCCCTAGGGGACTAACGGGGACAGGAGTAACTGTTGCACCCCACCCGTTAGTCTCCCTCGAGGACTAAGTGTTGAACCCCTTCACATGCACCCCAAGGACTAACAGTTGCACCCCTACACTTAGACCCCTAGGACTAAATGTTCATCCCCTGCATTTAGTCCCAAAAGACTAAATGTTTATCCTTAGCATTTAGTCCCAAGGGAGGAAATGTTTATCCCTACAATTTAGTCCCAAGGGAGGAAATGTTTATCCCTAGCATTTAGTCCCAAGGGAGGAAATGTTTATCCCTAGCATTTAGTCCCAAGGGAGGAAATGTTTATCCCTAGCATTTAGTCCCAAGGGAGGAAATGTTTATCCCTAGCATTTAGTCTCGCAGGAGTAAATATTATCCTTTGTATTTAGTCCCATAGGAGTAAATTTGATCCCTTGTATATAGTTCTGTATTTCGTCCCCTATACTCCATTCACTGCTAAGCTGACGGAATTATGCTATACCGTGCTCACTAGACCAGTCAACAATCAGTTTCCCGAAGAGAGCAGTCGGGCAATTGACTCATCCAGCAAGCATGTCACTTGCATGGACTTGTCACTTTAGCTGTGAATGGAGTATAAGGAAAAAATACCGAATCCTAAAAGGAAAAGATGGAGGTCAAGTCATACACTTTTATTATTCATGAAAGTTGAACCATCTCTGCTATATCCAATGCATATGATATTCCAAATGGGAACATTCATTTAAAGCCCACAAGAAAATATTTGGCAAAAGCGCTAAAAAGGGCATTGAGTTCAAAAGCTAAAACCAAGACAACATTTTTGTATTTGAAATGCATACATTGACAAAATAACCAACAATCTTAAATACTTTAAAGCATTTCATAAACCACATACAAGTGGAAAATATAACTTTACATGAGAAACTATCACTTATCACTAAGATGCTTGAGAAGAGGACAAGTATATCACAGGGTGCGACGAAGCACAGAATTGCATGAGTCAGTTCCTTTAACCTCTGCACAAGACGTAACAAAGCCCTCTTGAGAACATTTTGACACCTATATGAAAAACGCCAGTAAACAAAACAAAAATAAGGCATGAATGACTTATCCTATGGGTAACAGTGGTCCCTTGATGACCTCTACACAAAAAATATTGCACATACGGTGAACATAACACAGAAATAACAAACCTATTAATTATTCTGTTGGTTCAGGCTGTCCTTTTGACCTCTATGCAAATAACACTGCAACACAGTGAGCAAAACCACACAAAACAAAATAACTCATTCTATTGGTCCAGGCTGTTTCTTTGGCCTCTACATTTGAAACATTGCACATACATTGAGCAAAACACACCAAAAAATGCATCCTATTGCATTAGTTTAGGCCATTCTCTCAAACACTACATGGACAACAGGCACATATAAAGAGTGGAAAAAAAGTAGTACACAATTCATCCTTAGAATAACTCTATTTGCAGCATGTGGTACATTAAACATGTGGTGGACCAAACATCTGCAGAGCTAAAACTACAGGCACTTTTCAACATATTGACACTTAGACATACTACTGGCCATAAAAGCTTACGGCCAGTGGGAAGGTACTAAAAAATGTATTTACTGCGCTGCCTTAAGTCTTGACTTGCTTCTTGAGTGTCACTCAAAAAAGAAGTCCAGACATTAAGCCAGTGCAGTAAATAAAATGCTTAAGTCAGTAATGATTGTGATTTTTATAGTCCACAGACCATGAGCCTATCGCCACAGCTTCAGAGCATGTATCAGGATGAACTGCTTGGCTAGCTGGTAATGCATTATAGAGAACAAAAGTGCAAAAGACACGGGCAAGTAGAAAAACAAAGTCAGTCAAATTGGACGTTTAGCATCAGGTCGGTCTGCCAGGATGGGGCAACACAGGCTTACACTGTAGATGAGCAATTTTGCCAGTGCAGTTAGACTGCTAGCCTGGGGTCTTTAACATGCTCACGCAGTAGTGATACACGACTGCACGCTGGTGCGGTGCACATCCAGATCGAAACGGCCAGGGGTGGGGCTCGAACCCAAGACCCCTGGTTTCTGCAGCGCGAGCTATCGCTCCACGCACGTTGAGCTGGGCCCACTTGGCCCTTTCCCCTAGAACAGAACACGGCAAAGCACTACTATCAACTGGCATTTTTTTAATTTGAAAAAGGAAAACAAGCCTAGAGCTTTTTTTTTTTGTGAAAGAGGAAGGTTGCTGTCAAAGCAAAGAAAAAAATGCATGTTCTTTCAATTAAAAGTTAAAGAAAAACAGGACTAGGGAAATGAGACTAGAAAAAAAAAAATATAACAAAAAATAACTAGGAACAAAAATTAGAGAAAAAGAAAGAAGTTTAAAGGAGAAATAAAAAAATGAAAAAATTCTAGCATTGTAAGAAAAATTGAGGTATTGGAGTCCTCTGTCAGATGAGGCTACTGACGGTGTGCTAATGGAAGTACCCTCTGGCTCTAACGATTCGAGCCTCATAGATCATCTTGACTCCCGGGTTGTGTTCTTGCTTGAGGATTCTGGTTTTAGGAAACCGAGGGTTGCATTTGCAGTCTCAGATATGTAGGGCATGTTCACGTAGTCTGATGTTAACACACCGGCCAGATTGGCCCACATGCACTTTCCCACAGGAGAGTGGTATCTCATAGACTACCCTATACGGCAGGTGACATACTTGTGCATGTGCTGAACCTTGCATTGGTCTTGTAGATGTTTCTCAGAATTGATCTTGGGACACAGCCTCTTGAGTTTGTGTCCCAAGATCAATTCTGAGAAACATCTACAAGACCAACGCGAGGTTCAGCACATGCACAAGTATGTCACCTGCCGTATAGGGGTAGTCTATGAGATACTGCTCTCCTGTGAGAAAGTGCATGTGGGCCAATCTGGCAGTGTGTTCATATCAGTCTATGTGAACACGCTTTACATATCCGAGAGTGCAAATGCACCCCTGGGTTTCCTAGAACCAGAATCCCCAAGCAACAACACAACCCAAGAGCCAGGGAGATCTAAGAGGCTCAAATCATCAGAGCCAGAGGGGGGCCGCCTGCATTAGCGCACAGTCACTAGCCTTAATAATATTAATTTGTTTATTTAATGTGCCCGAAAACAACCACGTGGGTCTTCACATTGGCGCACACAAGACAAAAAGAAGAAACAGAGCACACGCACAGCCTTAACTCCCTTTTCTATCACAAAAAAAAAATGTTCAGTTTTTTTTTTCTATTTTAAAAAATGCCAGTTGATAGTAGCGGTTTGTCCTGTCCTGGTTCTCCTACCTGTCTTTTGCACTCTTTTCCTCTATAACTTCAGAGCATGCGCTACCCTAGCCATCAATTATTCCTTTCGCCACCAGCACAAGTGGGCTAGCTGCAAGGGCACAATCTACACCAACCATATGGGACAGCAGCTGGAGCGTCTTCGACGATTTTGGTAAAAACTCCATATTAAATACCCAGTACATGGCCATCATTGTACTGATGGCACCCAACAGTGTCGCTTCCTCAATCCGCAGTTCATCGACGGAAACGATGAACGACGCCGCCTGGTAAAAATCTCCCTCATAACCCACCGTCGGGTACGGTGGAAGTTCTGCTGGGTCCTAAGGAAATGTAGGAATACAAAAAATATATTTCAAGAAATGATTGAGCAAAATTCTTCAATGCTAAATTTTCCTCAGTAGTAAAGAACCACGAGAATAAGCCACAAGCATAAGTTACAGCCAAAGTTTCCGAAAACGAATGTGCAAGCTGTCTTACACTTTGTAATCTAGCTACTATACAGAAGTGCTCAGTATTGCACCAATGCAGTCAAGGTGTGGATCACACAGATCTGCTAGCACTCTATAACTCATTTTATGAATGCCATGGAAGGTCAGTTACCAGATGTCAACGATATATTTTTAGCACACCAGATTACATCATTGCAAGCCATAAAGTAGGGTTCTGCATTTCCTTAGTTTATTTTCTGCAAAATTGGAAGATGTTTTTCTGAGTTTCTTTTTAACACACATTTGAGTTTCAAAGTTTTTTGTGAACGCAAATGAAAAATATAAGACAATAGTTCGGAATTTAGCAAAGTAGCCTATTCAAAGACAAGGCTTATACGGCTATTGTCGTACGAATGCTAGTTATGCCTCATTACCCCGTTAATATGGACACCCCGCAGCATGGACGAAACTTTCGGCGACCGGTCTCTCACCACGCAATTCTGCCTTATTATTACAGAAACCTGCAGTCCAGACTATGGATGGCTGTTTTGGGGACGAAATGGGAAAATACAGGCATTTTTGTCTTGTCATTATGGACACAGGTCCACCAAGCAAAAAAAATAAAAAAGAGAGAAGACTAGTGACCTGCAGAGGTCGCAGTGTGTACCGAGAATTCACCATTGTCTGCCGTTCCTTGCCCGTCTCGTTACTTTTACAGGAAAGAAAGAAAAAATAAGTTAGGGAACCGCCAAAGTCTCATCATGCATACACGGAGATCACTAATTTCCGTTGTTTGTTGCCCATACTTTTACTTTGAACGCGGGTTTACAAACCCAACAGAAAAGAAAGGTTAGTGAATCACAGAGTGTACCCTGAATTCACTATTGTCCGTCGCCCGTCTTGAGATAAAACCTGGGCCGGTTTGCTCATCTTGCGGCTGCGGCTGCGGACGCGGCCAAGAGGGATTTTTAGGTCACGTGACCGACTCTATGGGGACAAGGAAGTACCTAGCCGCCCTGCCTAAAGGCGGAGAGATCTGCATCGCTTCAAGTACGAAAGCCTAATGTCGGCCACAAAAACTGATTGCAGGGACTTGCAACTGGAGTCCAATTGACCGGCACTTCATACTGTAGGATGGGCAGGTAAAGTTACGGCCAGGGAGGGTAAATAAGAGCCAAAATAAAGAAAAAACCACACGAAGTAAAAGCGGTAGCAGGAAATTTATATACCTCTGCCGGCGCCAGCGCCTCACGCCTTCTGCTGTGGTCGAGAGGTTAAATCGCCGGTACTTGTCGTCGCGGCGTGAAAGTTCCGGGTTCAAATCGCGCTGGGGTCTTCTTTTTTTCTTTTTTTTGTATTTTGCGCGTGTCTTACTTTTAAACTGTGATCTTTTTTAGGAAATCATCCACTTGCAATACTGCGGCTTACACGGTTTGTACTGTTAGTCCCACCTGTCCATTCGAAACACAGGGAAGAAAAAAAAGATCAACGCAAGTTAACGCGCTAATACAATCATTTCATAATGTTCATTAAAAGGAAACCAAGGTAACAGCATCGGTACGGTTTTCACACAAACGGAGCCGAAACAAGTATCCTTTCCTCAGCAACTGCAATTTTATCTGTTTTTAAATAAGGCTCTTTCTTCGATTACTTTCTATAACAAGAGATGCCTATTTAGGACTAATAAAAACTGCAGTTGTGACAATTAAAAAAAAAACTAAAAAAAAAAAAAAAAGGACTAGCAGCGGTGGATACATTGATTGAGCGAAATCCTACAGTCAAGGCAGCAAGTCAAACGTCTGAGAAAGTATTAAAACCGAAACAAAAGAGATCATACTTCTACTTGCATGTAATGTGATAAAAAGTATATTTAAACTCTTAAAATTTTGTTGTGGCAATCGTTTTGTAATATTAACACATTACTTGCTGAATTTTAGTTAGCATAGCAGACGATCACGACCGAATGCAAAAATGAATCAGGCGTCGACATCGCAAACCCTCTCTCTAATGCAAACCCCTAAAATGACTTTGGATCAAGAAATGAAATTAATTATAATTAATTCCATATGTTGATCCTGTCTTTTTAGGTGTTTGCATTAGAGAGAGGGACCTAAAATGACTTTGGATCATAAATGAAATTAATTATTATGAATTCCATTTGTTCTTTAAAAGTCATTTTAGGTGTTTGCATTAGAGAGAGGGTTTGCGATGTCGACACCTGATTCATTTTTGCATTCGGTCGTGATCGTCTGCTATGCTAACTAAAATTCAACAAGTAATGGGTTAATATTACAAAACGATTGCCACAACAAAATTTAAAGAGTTTAAATATACTTTTTATCACATTACATGCAAGTAGAAGTATGATCTCTTTTGTTTCGGGTTTAATACTTTCTCAGACGTTTGACTTGCTGCCTTGACTGTAGGATTTCGCTCAATCAATGTATCCACCGCTGCTAGTCTTTTTTTTTTTTTTGTTGCTTTTTGGAGTTTTTTTTTTTTTTTTTAATTGTCACAACTGCAGTTTTTATTAGTCCTAAATAGGCGTCTCTTGTTATAGAAAGTAATCGAAGAAAGAGCTTTATTTAAAAACAGATAAAATTGCAGTTGCTGAGGAAAGGATACTTGTTTCGGCTCCGTTTGTGTGAAAACCGTACCGATGCTGTTACCTTGGTTTCCTTTTAATGAACATTATGAAATGATTGTATTAGCGCGTTAACTTGCGTTGATCTTTTTTTTCTTCCCTGTGTTTCGAATGGACAGGTGGGACTAACAGTACAAACCGTGTAAGCCGCAGTATTGCAAGTGGATGATTTCCTAAAAAAGATCACAGTTGAAAAGTAAGACACGCGCAAAATAAAAAAAAAAAAAAAAAAAAAAAAGTCCCTAGCGCGATTTCATGCCGCGACGACAAGTACCGGCGCTTTAACCTCTCGACCACAGCAGAAGGCGTGAGGCGCTGGCGCCGGCAGAGGTATATAAATTTACTGCTACCGCTTTTACCTCGTGTGGTTTTTTCTTTATTTTGGCTCTTATTTACCCTCCCTGGCCGTAACTTTACCTGCCGCTCCCACAGTATAAAGGGGTGGTCAAATGGACTCCAGTTGCGAGTCCCTGCAATCAGTTTTTGCGGGCGATATTAGGCTTTTGTGCTTGAAGCGATGCGGGTCTCTCCGCCATTAGGCAGGGACGCTAGGTACTTCGTTGTCCCCATAGAGCTGGTCACGTGACGCAAAAATCCCTCTTGGCCGCGGCCGCAGCCGCAAGATGAGCAAACCGGCCCTGGGCACCTGAAGATGGTGGAGTTTTTTCCGGCTTTAAAATCGGAAGGTATGTTATCCACTTCGGCATAACATGAGTGATAAATCACATTCGTTGTGGATAAATGGCAATGCTGGAGGATGCGTCTCTGGTCAACTCGAAGGAGGAAAAGAGAATGATAAAGCACAAGGGGACGGAGCTACGTTTATCCGCTAAGCTTGCTACCTAATGTTCATTGTGACCTTGATTCGTTATGATGAACGATTGTTCTGGGGAACAAAGGTGCCCATATTAACGAGACATGACTGTACCTTGTTTTTCTGATAAGGGGCCAAAAACAATTCTTTGACGCTTATGATCGACACTTGGGACTAAAAAAAGAAGATAAATGTGAAACCTGTTCGAGTATCCAGAGACAATTTAAGACCGGTTGTGTTCATTATTGGCAGACCCCGAAATTCTAAATTTTTCAGATGAATCCAAATCAGCCAAATTTTTGCTGGCGAATGTATTTTTGATTTATCAGAAAATGCAGAACCCTACATATAAGCCGTGTCTTGGTAATGTGGACACCTCCATTCCCCAAAAAAATCTTTCATAATGCGAGTTGTCCATAATAATAATGAAGGTTAAAAACACAAACATTACGTGACAAGCATAGCAAACAAAACAGTTTAGTCACCCAAAACGTAAGACGGAGGTTTGAACTAATACTTTGAGTCATACTTTTCTGCTACCTGGAAGGGGCAAATGACCTTTGGCTTGAAAGCCCTAAGAACCCTACAACTTTAGGTGCGCATGTCTTCTCAAGAGGTTCAACGGAGACAGTGGTGAATCGCCGGTACACTGTATGACCTATGCAGCCCACTAATCTCTCTTTATGTTGCGGACTCACATCCAAAATAATGAGGCGGGCAACGAACTGGGCAATAGCTAATTCTGGATACACATACAACCTTTGTGGTAGTCTTTATTTTTTGTGCATGTTTATGGACCGGAGTCCATAATGAGGCAAAAACGCAAATTTTCCGAAAATGTGTGTCTATAATCTGAACTGCAGGTTTCTATATTAAAGACCAGCTCCAAACAAATCCGGTGCATGCAACTGCACTCTTGGGCTACACGTCTGCCGTTCTCGTGACTTCACACCACCGGAATGCACGGGAAATTTCGAATGTTTCATTTTTCATTCTCTGTCTTCTCAATAACTGCTCTGAATTTAAAAAAAAAAGACTAAATAGCACGCTGAGATGGGCAAAGACAGCGTATTCAAAAAATATAGTTAGATTCAGTGGCTCAAAAAAACTGGCACGGTACCCCTCTAACGAGTCAGAATTGCATGCCCAGGGAGCGGTCTTTGAAAATTTTGTCCATATTGTGGGTGTATCCATATAATGAGACAAAACTGCAGCTAATTGATTTATTTGAACTGTCCAGAATTTTTAACAAAAGAAAACTTGTGTTAGACAGCTAATGTTACTATTTGCTTTCCATGCTTGGCAGACAATGGAAACAAGCTTGTCCGTAGAATGAGGCGGATAATTACAGGGATCTTTTAACTTTTATATGGCTCACATGCGCAGAAAAACCCAGGCTCTAAGCTCTCTACCCACACCCCAAAACGCATATCTGGCATCTTTCGGCTTCACTAAACGCGAGTTTGTTTCTAAACATGAGTTAGTTACTGTATGGTGATGAGATACATAATAATGAGGCATGATTGCATAGATAACCATTAAAACAGTTGCAATTATGTCACCAGCTGTCAAGAAAGGGGTTGGCCTCTATCTAGAACTTACATCTGGGTGGAGAAAGGTCAAACTTCTTTCCTTCACCAGGCATGGCAAAACGTACAATGCAGCCATGGTCAAGACATCTGCAATAACAAAAGTCATCATGACATTACAGCAAACGCCTATTCTAAGCATAAAATGAATTAAGGACAAAGGCAATGAATGAAAGCCCTAAAAAATACCCCCAATTTCCCTCAAGAATGAACCCAAACTTATTTGTGCACTATGCCCTACCATTTTCTGGACCAGCGTCCACTCCTGCAGCACGACCGTCGAGGTCGTCGAAGAACGCGGCAAGGTGCCTCTTCTTTCTGGCAGCCTCCAAGATGCGTAGGCTGCTGTTGGACAGCCCCTCCAGCAGCTTGTCTTCTATTGTGCAGCCTGTTGCTGCCGTGAACTCCTGTTGGAGCTGAATGAACAAAAAGACAAAAAAAATAATGTCAACATATATTTAACCATTCATTTTGCAACGCTCCAGATTCACACCCCAAGAATACTTACAAAGGTGCCGCACTTCAAAGCAGGATATTTTTCCACGATTTCCGCCACACTTGGGTTAAGACTTGTGACCCACAACCTCCGTGTGGGAAACGTCCTTGCCAAGGAGTCCGTTATATAGGCCACATTAGGGCTTGACTTTTGCATCTCCTTGTCCATGCCAAGGACATGGCCCTGGAAACTCTCCTCGTCCTCTCCATCGGCTGGCAGCACGATATTCTGCAGTACATTACAAGAAAGTAAAGAAGTAACATCAAAACCCATAAATGTTAAAAATTATTCTTTGAACAATATTGTCATACGGTGCCAGGCCTTGTCACTCGTTTAGGCTTCGGGTCCTTTGGCACCCTCGCCTGCTTCTGCTGCTTCCGTGGTGGAGCCCCATTTTCGCCGTACCCTTCTTCCGTCTGGCGAAGTTTCACACGTTCACGCTTCGCCTTGAAGCGAAGTGCGAGGCGCCAGGAGTCCTAGGAGCACACACGAGAGATTGGAAGAAGCAATGATTACAAACTATATGAGCAAAACTAAATACAACTACGAGCTCCAAGTAAGCAGGACGTTTTCAGATAACAGCAAAATATGCCCGGTGCTCATTTTTAATTTTGAGTAGAAAAATATATATTGTTGCCCTTAATGATGCAAACAACAAAACCGTGAAAAAAAATATTTGTCCCCAAGAAAAAAATTTAGAAACACCTGTTCAGTCCGGAGTGCTTTCTGCGGATTACACAAGGTGGCCATTTCAGCCAGCTCTCAACAAAAATCTGGTGAGGCTGCGGGCCTAGAAATATTTATTGACACAATAATTACAGATAGGACTGTATCAAATTATTTATCATGGATTATGGCGATCAGTATTTTGAAATAAAAAAATCGCTAATATGGTACATTGCGCAATGCTGCCTAAAGCTTTTTTTTTTTTTTTCTTTGCATCTATACAAGCTGGGGGTTCCAAACCTTGCCAGCGTGTTGCCCTGTATTTGGTTAATCTTTGCGAGAAAAATTGCTGTCCTGGTCAGCGGGAAAATTAAAACTTCAAAACTTTAGCAGCTCCCATTCCTGCTGGCCGTTTTTAAGGAGCTGATAACAACGCAGCTGGCTCAGTGCAATGTCCATTTCAACTTGCGAGAGAGACGCAAGAGCTGAGAAACTCGACCGGCTCCGTACATAATCGAGTTCACAGTTGTCAGGAATTGCATCAGAAGCGATTTCTAGCAAAATAAAGGTACCATTTCATTGCTCTATTAGCTTCATGCTATAATCAAGGAAATACAGTGCTTTGTGTGCGCTGATCAAAACCGCGTGTGTGAATGCGTGCATATTTCTTTGTAGTTCAGAACAATGTATAAAATCTCAACTGCAATATTCAGCCCCCCCCACCCTCCTCCTTTTTCTTTCCCGTTGTGTAAATCCTGGCTACTCCACTGGCCATCAGAGCGGCGAGATGTTCAAATACAGCCCCGGCAATACCTTTAAAGGGTAACTGCAAAGAAAAAAGTTTTTTTTTTTAAACAGCCTAATTTGGACAAGCATGTCAAAAAACAATTTTTCTGCGAGAAAAGAAATTTTTTTGAAATATTTATTGTGTGAGACTGATTTTAGTTCGCGGCTATTTTGTCCGTCTTAAATCGCGTGCCACGAAGTTGGGTTTCCGTGACGTTAATCCCAATCGGCTGCTATACAGCTCATTGGCTAAGACTTTGATTGACAGCTTAGATCTTGGTTGTTAAACCTTTGTTATATGTTGCAATTTCCTTTTGAGCAGCATATTTTTACGTTTAAAGAATAACCCGTGTGATGAGTTATTATTCTTTGCAAAATGTTTACAAGACGGGCACTTCCGTTTGGATTCATACCTTAACAAATAAAAGCTTCGCCATTCTTTCATGGCCGCCAAAGTCTTTGCTCCCGCCTGACTCGCCTACCTCGACTAATCGTTTCGCCGAGGTGATCAGCGTTTCCTGCTGACCCAGGTGCTTGAGTGAGACTTCTTGAAGTGAAGTAGTGTGTATTTAGCGGCTGTCGCAGGTGTTAGTAATAGGAAGCGACGTGGGGTTTTGGCTTTCATAGTGCGGTTCTCTCGTTTTTCTCTTGCTTGCTTAGCGTGCTTTCTTTTTTTTTGCGCTTGTGCGTGAAAATACTGACTTTTCAGTGATGTCCGATCCCCACAGCAAGCCAGCAGCCATGTCGCCCCGAAAGGAATGCTATTTGGCTGGAGGCAATCGGGCGTTCGCGTAGCGACAAACGTGTCCAGTTACGTTCTCGTCATACCGCTCCGGAGGCCATCAAGATTCGCACCGGGTGCATCGAATGTCCGCGACTAGACACAGCTGTTACGTAAAAAAACCTGGCACAGCCAGGTTATTACGTAATAGCTGTCCGCAGAAGCCTTCGGACGTCCGAATTCTGCGTTAGCCAACAGATTTTGTTTCTCAGCTTCTGAACCATCTTACGTGTTGAGGAATGGGCACCGCTATTCCATTCCAATTCCACTCCGGGGAATTAGAGGTTTCAATAATTTAATCCCTTTCAACTCCTAGGCATGGGGACACCGGGCCCATCCCCACTCCTGGAATGGCTGAATCGTTCCACTCCATTCCTCTAATTCCTAAACGTAAACATTGGCACTTGACAGCTACATTGTGTTGCCGGCATAAGTAGCATAAAGCTGACATTATGAAACGCAGACAATTGCAAAAAACGAAAAAAGCTAAATGCCTCAAAAAAGCACTCATTTTACTAAGCGGAGCGCTGGTGGCACAAAGTGTTTATTTACATTGTGCTGCAAACATTGAGAAAGCCCCTTGATATGTTAATGCTTGTTTAAGACATTGGTCTCGTGAACACGTGACACGCAGCAAGCAGCAAAACTTAAATCCACTCATTTCCTTTTTTTTTTTTTTTTTTTTTTGCAAACGTTTTCTGAATTTGGCTTTTAGGACATATGTGGCCAGCGTGTTTGTTTGGTAAGACCATAAAAATATACAGTTTGTGCATGGTGCAAAAATAAGCTATATTACTGTATTCTTCAAACTGCACAGCAACACGGCTAGTACGCTGCTGGAAGTGACTCCATGCACAGCGGCAAGAAAGCATCCTGACAAAGCACAACCTCTACAATGCAGCACCAGGGATTGTACAGACCATGTCATTAAACCTGTTATAAATGCACAAGTTCACGCTTCTTTTACAAATCTCGATATTTCTGATCATATTCAAATCAATTTTTAAGTGTTTTCCAGGCGATCAATAGAACGTCTGCTGATCTCAAATATACATTTGTTCATTGCAGTTTGTTCATTATATGGACGTAATGGGTTTATTACATGTCATTTCCTGATTATCTTGCTCATGATTCGGGCATGAGCCAACACTTTTTAGCGAGTGCGCGTCCGAAGTATTTACTTACAAGGACATTCAAGATGCACTCCGCGAGCCTTCAGTTACCGGTGTTTTGCGGTGACCGAGGTGTCTGGCTTTAACCCAAATGAGATTGTATGTACCGGGTGATGCCGTAAGGACTAATACATTTGGTAAGCCTTGCAAAATTCGAATTCCAATCGAACATAGCTCAAACTGAGCATGCGAACGCAGTTTCACAAAATGCTTTATTTCTTTTTTTTTTTTTAGAGAGCTCAAGTTGGAGGTGGTGAAATATTAAAAATAGTGCAAAAATGGGGGCCTTGCATTTTCTTTGTCCTATACTGGATGTTCGTTGTTTGCACACTGGTTCGCAAGCTTGGCAGTCATCGCCGACAAAGCTAGCTTCACATCAAGATACAATTAACAGGGTAATACCGCACCGTTCAAATTGACATTCTCCGTCTCTCCTCAAAACCACCGTCCAACTGACTTCTCACCGCCTTAAACAAGGTCCAGGACAGGGAGCACCAATGCAGACCTGACAGCTAAGACGCGCAGAAGCCAAAACCTTAGTAGCAGCTAGCACCCAGCTCTCGTTCTCAGTGGCCCTCACAGCAACTGTCATACCTCGTCTGGCACGGGACTGTCTTTCTGCAAGTCTAGTCAGTTCGATCACGTGACAAGAGCGGTGATGATAGTCTACTGCACCTTATGATGGACCACAACAGACAGAACGAGAGCCGTCGAAATCAATCCAGTGCCTTCCGAGTGTCGTGTGATCCTGGGGCAACGCGCCGTGCGTGTAGTCCTGCTCAGGATTGCCGAAACAATAACTGATCATCTTTTGGCGGCGCGTGAGCCAACGAGTTATGATAGTTCTGCGAGTTATAAGTCACCCCCGCTCCCAAATTTCAGTACAGATGCGCACGTGCACTCTCCATGCCGTTGTAAAAAAAAAAAAAAAAAAAATACAAGGTTGATAAGGAGCCATGCATGGCTGTTTCTTTCTTTGCCGCTCCATTCGTTTCCTTTGCTTGGTGCTTGGTTTCTTGTTTCGCTCTCATGTAACACCAGTGGCCAGTGAAGCTCGTGGTCGCTTGCGCGTCTCTAAAAGTCCCCCCCCCCCCCCCCCCCTCTCTGTTTTGACGCTTGTTTTTTGTGTTGCATTTTTTGCATATAAGTATGTTAGGACTCCACACGGGCTGGCAGTTTCCCGCTCATTTTATTTCTGAGCAATTGACTCGCTGACTGGCTCAGTTTAGCCAACCATAAATCCTAATCAAAAAAAAAAAAAAAAAAGAATGAAAGGGAGAATTGGGTTCATTCTATTTTCATTCGACTCCATTCTGGGCAAAAGGCATCTAATTCCATTCTCATTCCCCATTCCGGGATCACGAAAACGCGCAATCATTCCGGATTCATTCCAACTCCAGAGTGGAAACTCCGCAACACTGCTTTGCACACCATTTGTTTGAAGGGCTACAGATTTGTCTAACAGGGGACAAGCATTCAAATAAAACAGCAACTAGTTACTCACATGTCCACTTCCTGTGGTGTCTGCAAGCGTGGGGAACATATCCACAAGGCACTTTGCAGCCTTCTCATACAGTTTATCTGGGTACCTGCCAAACAAAAAAGTAGATACATACAATCAAAACAAAACAAAAAATCTCAATGCAAAGTTGCACTAACTATTATTCACTATGAAGGATTTATATAACTGACAAACATTTTATTTGTGCTACCAGTACAAATATAACTTATGAGCATGGCAAGACCTGTCAGAACAGATGGCAAAGACACCAGAAGGTCTTCCAAACGTTGTCTGGAAACGAGTTCAAAATTTTCAATTACAATAACCCCCAAGACTGTGTCAAGCTAGAGACCTATCTGTGGCCATGTACTAGATGTAAAAAAATAAAAACAAATACCAGCAAATAGACGTTAGAGGTAAAAATATTATGTTTAAACACATACAACATAAACCGATTTTGAAAATAAACCAATATATGTTGTTCAATGCATCTGAGTATTGCTCGCCGATTTTAGGTATCACTCCCGCCAGATTTCTTCTACTGCAAAGCAACTGGATCTACAACAGCCCATTCACTATATGAACATATGGAGAGAGAGAGATAGGACAAAAAGGAAGACGGAGAAGTTAACCTCGAGTACTCAGTCCCGATTCAGTGCTCTGTTCTGGGGGAGAGGGATATTTTTGACATTGACACTCTGCCTACTTGTCATGCCAAAAAAAGTATCCAGGGAGGGAAACTGGAAACCATTCTTTATGTCCACAGCAGTGACTTACAATAAAAGATTTATATGCATCCTTGGATATCACCTAGCCAACAGCCATCGCTTTTGGGTAAAACCAGTTTTCCCAAGATTTGCAGCCCTAAATATTTGATGGCACAAGCGAAGCACACGCAGCTGCAGCATGCGTACGTGCAGCGACTTCCCGCTCAAATCAATCCACCGGGGACACCATAGATCATTCAACATTGAACATCGAGCATTGAACAGAGAACCCTATGTGAAGGAACTTCTCCAAAGAATGGTACCTTGATTTTAAATTTTACGAAATTTCTCCAAACTTTGTGGATCTTTCAAATCTCTCCCGTATTCAGGAGAACGCAAAGATATTTCCTATTGAATATATCACTCATTTTAAACTAAGTAGTTAAATCCAGATTCACTCGTTGATCGGGTCATTTTTCGCATCAACTAAGTCGAACCTGACGGACTAACAAAGGAAGATCCCACATGACCTCAAAAGGTTAAAGATTGGCAACTGGCTTCAGCAACGTGCTTAGCAGTTGAAGCCACCTATCGTGAGCCTTCTAGGAGTTGTCAGACTTTGACCCATCACTCAAAGTGGACTTACTTTTTCACTGCCATGAATGTGTACTCACGCCCACACAGCTTCATTAAAAGTAGGGATACAAAGAAAAACCTCCTGTCCCTCCACACCTCAAAAGAATAAGCAAGAGTATTGAAAGCATATTAATTTCGGTTTTTTTAACAGCTGTCTGAAACTGTAAATGTAACAAGCAAACCAAAACATGCATATTGGCTGATTTGAGTTGTTGTAAAATAGGAGTAAATTTAGACCAACTTTTACTTACATATCATACAGACACAGGTCATGGTAGAGCCACTGGATCAGTCTGCTTCTGCAACCCACATAGTGACCTTTAGTATGCTTTCGCATTGCCTGTGTGATGTCAAGGGGCACGGGAGGAAGCTTATACTCCGACGATTTTTTTGACGGAGCTCTGGACGTTCCAGGATCATCTTGCATGATGACGTCCATGATCCTAGATACATGAAATGAAGTGGCATAATAGCTTCGATCAAAATAGTTAACCATTTACAATATAAGCATGCCCTCGATTTAAATATTTCTTAAAGGAGTATAGACGCTGTGGGTCGTATCTTGTTTACTAAGAAATATGCACACTGCATCACTTTTCATGACATTTAACTTAGAACTTCCCAAGACACAGTAAATAATTTGTAATTGCATTGGTTGTACCTAATGGTCTCAATTTCTATAGACAATTGCAAGCATGGCGCCACAAGTAGTGCTCCATGCGTGCAAGCGCGAGCAACGCGTGGGAGAATGTAGCTTTGGCAAGCTCGTAATCACACGGGCGTGCCTGCTCGAGCAGAGGCATGGCGGCGGCCAGTCGCCCAGCTTGCACTCGTCTATTGCTGGGAGGCAGGATCTCGGGATCATGTCACAGATGAGTCCGGGCCTCAAAGATTTGGATGCAGAGGCATTCACGGTTGCAGCACATTGAGTGTACATATCACAATACTGGCGCACATCCCTAAGACACCAGAGTTGTAGAAGCAGCACCATCAACGGTGTGTGTAGTGTCTATGACTATTGTGTTAGGTGCCAAGTGGCTGCCTGAACGAAACTTTGACATTGATGCCTTAGCAACATCTCCGTCAGCGTTTCCAGTTCATCAGTCCTGCCTTTTAGAAGTCGCATTCTTATGAAATGCCTTTCATTGAGGCGCCCACGTCAGAGTGCAGTCTCTGAGGCGCTTGTGACATCCACCTTGACATTCTCAGATTACCAGTTGTGTGGTTTAGAGCTAGCACTCTTCATAGATGTAACTACGTGCTAAAATGAGGGCAGACAAAGCCACTGCTATGTCAATACTTTAGGAACCCATCTGGCTGCCATAATAATATGTTTAACTGACCTGTGGTGTCACCTCAACCTCCTGGCTCCCAGCAATAAAAATAAAGACCACTAGGCAGAAACAATGTACTACTAAATTATTTGCAATGTCTTGGCACAAGTTCCACGCCAGGATCAGCGACATCATATGCATTGCTTTGAGTAAAAACGCAACCCGAGAAATTGCTGTCTCCCTTGTTTAACAGTAGGCCCGAACTCCCCATCTAGTTTCGCTAAGCCACCGATACTGCAATTTTTATTGTGCGAACTTCAGTCTTTCTGCACGTACAACATTGCTGTGGGCCTGTGCACGCAGTGCGTGAGGCAGCACAGCATGTCTTGTTCACCATTTCCTTCCTCCTGAGAACAAAAGCTATGGCAGCGCAATAAATGCACCAAATAAATCGTGAGATTGCTCTAATAGGCCCAGGTATGCTGGATGTAAAAAAAAACAAAAAACACAAAAGCATCAAGAGCAGTACTGTCGTGCAAAATGTACAGAAAACTGACATGGTGGCACCGATGCCGTTCGCTCTGGAAAGACTTGCCACTGTCAGGTTCATTGAGTCTCTCATTGACTGACACGAGAGCAGGAGACACGCACATGTTTGCATTTCTCTTGGTTGCATATCAGTGTTCTGTACTGCCTCAAAATTTTTCTCGCATGTATCTTCCGCGTGAAGCTCACTATACTTTATCACCACACTCAATGTTCATGACTAGCAAACCTGTGTGATGTGAATCCAACGTTTTGTGTACATCTTTGGCATGCTACAACGAAGGCCAATTAAATATTTTTATGGAAATGGGAACTCCCGAACAAAGCAAGCTGAAATGTCTGCTATCGCAACTCGTTGCATATTACAAGATACACCTTCCTCAAGTCCTGCCTGTACTGTTCCTAGGCAACTTCATAATGGCATCACACCATTGGCAGCGTAAAAGGCTCCTGAATAAAGATGTGGCATTTCGATTTAAAAGGAAGTCTACATATCCATTTCTTTCATACATCCAATATGTTATCCCAGCTCGATTGCCAGGCAGACTCTACCAACGAGTGCAATCTTGTAAAATGTGCACGACCCACTGTATGGAGCTTCCCAAAACAAGGCTGCTCGATTTTTATGCATGGTGGCGTGGGCATAGAAAAATATGGAGGTGCCCAGAGATTAGCGCAGATTCTGGTCTATTGGGTCAGGCGAACCAGGCCCAATTGCCTCACTCTTGGCAAGCATTATTACTCACCTGAACTGCTGCTCATCTTGCACAACTTTTAAAAGTGCTTTGTCTTCAAGGATCATGTCATCGGTGAGGTCCACATCTGTTTCGAACCCGGCATGATAGACCTTGCGTGAAGGAAAAAAATTAAAAATTGTTATAGGCAGCATTGTCAATGCAGTTAATATATTACGCTTGTATGAGTGGGTCTACGGAACACCCCACAAAACGTGAAACTGATCTGGATTTTATTTAATTTATCAATCCCTTAAATGCCCACAAACGAAATAGAAGAACAAAATAACAAGTAGGTCATAAACCATAAAGAGCAGGAAGTGCTTCCCGGAATTAGGAAATATCAGATATGGTTACTATTCAGTTTAGGGCAGAAAACTTAAAGGCACTAGTCGGCGAATTTGGGTACGTTGCATAGAATGGCTAGGGAAGGTACCGTTCTGCATGTTTTGGGAAAGGGGAGCCCAAGTTCAGTTCTAGGTGTACTGACACTAGCTGTGAAGTTACCTACACTTGAGGTGAGTAAGTCGTATGGCGCGATTTCGGACTGCATAATACTAATAACGGAGGGCATCGATACGTCCCAGCGGAGGACTGAGGATTAATTTAGACAATCTGGAAATCTTGCGAAGCCTTGTGAGTAGTTCGACTGCTCACGCCGCGGAGCCCAGGGTGACCACTCCGACTCCCATAAGCATCGACCGGCGGGCGAACATGCATCATAATGCGTGATACACGTATTGACCTGACAAACAAACTGCAGTGGCACCGTGAATTAGATCCACCATATGTACAAGCGAAGCCGAAGCTACAAGCGGAGGCATGCTGCAGCCTGAAACAGTGCACGCACTGCACGAGCGATCAGAAACACAACAAATATGGGCCTCGCGCTGTAGCTTCGCTCGTACCTAATGTGAAACGAAGTGTAGGCAGGCATCGCCTGCTGCACTTCACGCTGTCTAAACGCTTATGTGATAATTTGCTTCGTAAACATTCATAACATTTCGCGTACAAAGGACAGAAAGAAATATGCGAGATGCTTGTGCTCACCATGATGTGGCTTGGTTCGAGGTCCACTCCTTCGAATACCTGTTTTTGAGCAAGGCATCGAATTAAATCGGGGCGCCGGTGCTCTCCGTCCACAGTGACAACGATCTTGTGTGTGCCGTAAGTCACCAGGCACTGAATCGCACTCATTGTTCGCACTTTGGTGCGACTCGCGCCGTTGACAACGCAAACTGTACACTCCCGTCTCTGCTCCGACCCCTCAAGAAGCGCGGGAAAGCGGGGAACAGACAAAGCAAGGGTTGCGCAAGTGCCAACAACTCGTTACGCATGTGCGCAAGCTCAGCGCGTTTGGATCGGATGGCTCACTGGCTTCACCGTTGACTAGTAGCCGTTGAGCCAAGGAGTTCAGCAAGTAAAGTCGTCGTTATACATAATCTTACAAAAAAAAAAAAAAAAAAATTTGCAATAAATAAAAACGGTATATACGGCGGCCTAGGTCCCGCTGGGGGTATCTGCGAATATATGCGGCGTTGAGCGCGTTGAGCCAGCCGCATAAAGCCACTCGCCCACAAAGTCCACAAGAACGTTTTTTAGCTTTTAGTGGAAAAGGCTTAACAAGATAGGTTTTCCTGTTTTGATTTGTAACTTTTGACGGCGGCAAGATTTTTCTTTGATATGTATAGAAATTAAAATCATCACCTAGCCAAATTTGTTGTTGATTTACAAACACGATTTTTTTTTTGTTGCGATTTTTGCGGTACTTTGCGAATAATTTTCTGCCCAACTCTTAAAAAAAAAAAAAAGTACAAAATTATATTTTCAGCATAATTATGAAAAGTCATTAAAGTCATAGTTTATTCAGAAGATACCGCGCACCCCGCGCACGAAACTTCGTGTTGTGATGAAACAATGAAGTTTTAAAAAAATAAATAAAAAAATCGGGGAAAGTTTTTAAAAGAAAACATGTGAGAAGGAAAAAAAAGGCTTAGAAATTAGTCTTTTCTTTGGTGCAGTGTCTTACCTTTCGAAGAAGAAAAAAAGCCAGAAAATGTGCTTGAATCCAGTATAATCCAATACCTGCCAACCACGTCCTGGTAAAAGGCATGACGAACTGCTAGTGATATTTGCAAGTTGTTCAGTATATGTGAACAAAAATGGTACTCAGGTACTGTCCCAGGTGCCCATACTTTTCTGAACAATTTACCAGAGTGCTCACCCATATAGGAGTCGTGCATGGCGGTGAGGATAAATTCACAGTTTTGTGTGGAATCAACGGTTGTACAAACAGCTACAACCAGTTTGTATCCTACAAGTCCCATATTTATCGTTGCCACAGGGATGTGCTGCTTAACACTGGAAGTAGCTTCAGCAGTGAGAGAACAAATGATGACCCCCGAGACTTCCAAAGCACTGACGAAAATCGTGCCTATGACGATGTCGACGAACGAAGTCTACAGTCAGAAGCAAGTGCAAGCAGTACCAGATCCCCAAAGAGAAAGCAGTTCGAAGATTTCGTTGCAGAAGCCAAAGCTGCCATCTGGAACTTCTTTTTCAATGTCACTGAAAATCACAAGCTGCCCCACAGCGCAGCCACAAAAATCTTTGGGGACCTACAACTTGTTTTCGAGCACGTCATCAAGGCATTTGCCGATGAAATCGCAGCCAAGATTGATGTGTCCGCCCTGCCTCCTGATGTCATCTCACTCCTGGAATGTTCGTTCCTGCCCGACCTTTTCGAGGGCATCCAGAGTAAGCACTTGCGGGAACAATATGCCAAGGCGAACTTTCCATATGTGGAACCGGAAAGCTGCAAGCTCAATGCTGAAGGCGGTGAATACCACTACGTGCCAATCCCCAGACTCCTCAGAAAGCTCTGCGAGATTCCTGACATTGCTGCTGAGCTTGTTACACCACAAGCACGTTGTGATGACGCTGAGGTGTACAGGGACTTCTCTGATGGGCTCTTGTTCCGAGACCTTAAAGACCTCATCTCTGAAGGGGACCAGTATACCATTTTTATTTTGTTATACTCTGACGAAGTAGAAATCTGCAACCCACTGGGAGCTAAGCGTGGAGTTCACAAACTGCTCGCAGTGTATTTCACACTGCTGAATCTCCACGCAAGGCACAGGTCCCAGTTGAGGTCCATTTTCCTGGTGCTCCTTGCAAGGTATGAGGACGTACAGGAGTATGGCCTGGACGTCATTCTTCGCCCTTTGCTTAATGATCTCAAGGAACTGCACTCTTGTGGAGTAATGTTCATCAGCAGAGGTGAGACGCACAATGCACACGTGTTTGTTTTTTGCGTGTGTGGTGACAATCTTTCAATGAACCGCCTTGGAGGTTTTACATGTTGTTTCAGCCAGGGCAGGGTGTGTCGCTTCTGTATGGCGACATCCGGCAAACTTTCAACGCTAACAACGGAGGACTTCTGTGTGCTGCGTTCAGCTGAAGCACACCAGGAGCACCTTCAAGCGATCACTGTCAACCCCAAGCAAAACAAGAGAATATATGGTGTGAATGAACGATCTCCAATGCTGGAACTCCCGTATTTTGATGTCACACGCCAATTGCCCCCTGACTTGATGCATGACATTTTGGAAGGGGGCTTCGAGATCGTTCTTCGACAAGTTCTGAAAGCGCTAGTTGACGATGGCATACTGGCGTACAGCGACTTGGATCACATTACTTCATTCGAGTATGGGCACAATGACAAAAAGAACAAACCTGTTGGAATGAACAGGTCATTCCTAACAAACAAGGCAAACCTGAAAGGAACCGCTTCTGAGAAGTGGTGCCTTCTCAGACTCCTGAGTTTGATCCTTGGCAACCTGGTGCCAGAAGACAACCCTGATTGGGAGCTGTACCTTCAGTTTCGCGAAATAGTGGACCTCAGTTTTGCCACTGTCATACCCTGCGAGTACCTGCCCTACCTAGAGTCACTTGTGCAGACATTCCTTGTGGAATTCGCACAACGCTATGGTGCTGCATCTGTAATTCCAAAACTGCACTACCTCGTGCACTATGCCAGATTTATTCGTGAACTAGGGCCACTGCAACAGTTCTGGTCAATGAGGTTCGAAGCCAAGCACCAATATTTTAAAAGCTTAGCATCACGGGTCAAGAACTTCAAGAACATAACTCTAACCTTGTCGAAAAGGCATCAACTGTTGCAGAGCCACCAGCTTAACGAGCTCGCTTTAGACTGTGAGCTCATGGCATCATCTGGCAAGCCCATTAAGCAGAGTGCTCTGCCTCCTTGTGTTCAAGGACTGCTGCCACCGAATGCGCACCAGGTACTGCATGCGTCGCTCGACCACCGTGATTATCGGTGCGGTGATGTCCTTGTGAAAGCTTCTCAGGATATCGAGCCAGTGTTCTATAGAGTCGAGGCTCTGTATGTTGCTTCGTGCAAATTGTTCATTTTGGCTGAGCTGCTAACTAATGAGGGTTTCCACAGACACAGGTTCTGCTACTGTGTCCGCAGATCTGGTGAGCTAGAACTCGTGGAGGCTAACAGTGATGACACACTCCACTGTGCTTTAGATTTGTACAACAATAGTGAAGTTGTTCTCAAATGGGAAGTGTGTTAAGTTCACAAACATTTTAGCCCCGGAGTGCGGGAAAAAAAGAGGTCGGACAATACCGACCTCCTTACACCTATACACTGCCAAAGTTTATTCGTCATATTACGACCTCCTTAAATAAAAAAAGCCCACAAAACAAGAGCTTTTTTTTGTGTCCTGTTCCATTTAGGGGTGTCATATTATGATGAAGAAACTTTACCAGTTTCTGGAAGTTCGTACTGTCCAATCCCTTCTCTCCCGCACTTTGGTGTTAAAATGTTCGATTGCATGTACTTTTCCATACTTCAAGATTTGCACGCCTGTACATAACATCTCCCTTTCTTTTTTTTCTGGTGTCGAGTGCGACTCGGTGGCTTCACCAGTTTTTGTTAGTGCATAGTGTATCCGAGTGGAGGTTCATCTGTTCGACGTTGGCTTCATAAACAGTATAAACAGTCCCAAAATGCATCGTTCTCAATGCACCAGATTACGAGCATGCCCAGCATTCATGCAAAAGTATCCTTGGCGGGCTTGCAATTGCTTGTGCCTCTTTCTCAACCACACTGCGCTTGTGAAGGAAGTAGCAGTGAATGCAAGTCTGCCAAAGATGTAATCCTGTAAATGCTGCAGATGCTCGCAGTTTGTGGGTGTATGCTCTTTTTATTTGTCAGCAGAACAGCAACAACACAAGCTTATCTCGTAACTGCCCTCAGTGTAGCGTTGTGCAGCATACATTACTTGATTAAAAAATAAGCTGGCAAGGTAAAGAAAACTGCAAGTGCAGCGCTAGCTTAAGTGCCTTGCTTTGAAATGTCTTTCTAGCAAGTGCTTGTGACATGCAAGCTCGTTTCAAAGCTGCAACCTCATGCCTGTCTTTGGGAAGTATGTCAAGATTTGCATTAATGGGAACTATGTTAAGATTCGCATAGACTGTTGGACAACCTTTAAGCCGACAGAGTAGCGAAGCCTACAGTGTAGACTTAAAGGTGCACTAAACAGGTTTCCGAGATTGTCTATTCTTGGTGATAACTCAATCTACGGGCTCCAAACATCCTAAACTTTATGCTCATGTCACACTTAATTATTTCCTCACTAAAAATATCTAAGATAAGGACACATCCCTCCTCGAGCAGAACTTTCCATTGAACAAGGGCGGTGCCTAGTCCAGCCGAGGTGACAGTGGGGTGACGAGAGGCACTTGTTAGCCAATCCCAAGCCACATCTCCAAGAGCAGACGGCGTGGCGACTTTTGCTCTTGGCTCATCTTGAGCCGAGGGTCTTTTTTAGACTTCTCAACATTTCTCAGCTACCTAAAATTGATATCTTGGCAACCTTGGCAAGCATCACATTCCTCTCCTCTGCCGAATTAATGTTCACTAAAGACTGCATTGTGACAGCACGAGAAGCTCAACTGTTGGACAATTAAGCTTTATAAACACCACCTTGCACAAGGGCAGTGCCTTGAAGGGGTCTTTCCCAGCTTTGCATCCGCTGAAACTATACGTCCTGCTTACTTCATCTGTAAGGCGTGCTCACAACATCCTCTGAACAGTCTTTTCGATTGTGTCATCCTGCCATAGTGCAAGGCTATGTACTACGGCAGGATGACACAACTCGGCAATGTACAGATGCATGTGTGATAGATAGTGCTAAAAGCCTGACTTCAATGAGGCTGCAAGCTTGCCACAAGGGGGCGAGCGTTCAGGACTGGGATCTGCTTCGTTGTCTTCAAACCAGGGCACACAAAACTAAATAGTTACCAGTGAGTTACAGGGTATACTATACTCAGGTTCAACTTTCTGCGGCAACGAAGAGAAAGCTAGGGGGTGGAGCTAGCAGCTCTGTGTTCCTCTACTACATAGTTCCCGATAAATTGGTCTCGGTTTCAGTATGGTCGTGACAGACGCGCATTTGCTACAGTTCATCTCTTTACATGAGCTTTAATGTTCAGGGCGTCGAACCGCTATTACCGAGCATGCAGGCATATCGGCGTGTCCTTCCTTAAGCTTCACCTGTTTCTGAACACACACCAATGCTTTGACTAAAGAACTTGGACCAACTTATAAGGAAATTATACTGTGGACGATATCGGCGAATTCTGCTTGTCTTGCGACCAACGCAAATGAGCAGCGTCAATTTAAGAACTGTCGTGAATTTTGTCACCACTGCAGTTTTGAGGGCACTGATACGTAAACTCTTCCGTTGCTGAAAACTGGGCAGCGCCACGGACATGTGTAGCGTGCTCAGCGTGCTTACATAGCTAGCACGGGCGCTGTATACCAAAATAGGAGCACACACATCACTATGGCGCTAACTCAAATCCCATTTGAATCGCATTGAGTTGAGTTACCGCTGGCCTACTATCCTAGCACTCCGCAGCTTGGAAGACGCATAGCGAAAGCTCGCGCTGTACAACCCATGGATCCTGTGCTCAATCCCCACCCATCTCTTTGACAAACATCGTACCGGTGTCGACTGCACTCGCAGAGTTGCTCGTCTACAGCATAGAGACGTTTCAAGCCCTGGATGGCTGACAAACGTCACGCTGTCTAAATATCCTCACAATTACTGCTGGCCCCAAAGTTTAAAAATAAATGGTCAGAAAGTTTCTGTAAATCCTGTTGCATGACAGCATGCCTTTTGGGTGTTTGACTTCATATCCCATAACCTCTGGCAGGGATTGAATCAATTATTTTTACAAAAGCTAAGGCTGACAGCAGGGAAATATTTAGCGTTTCGAAATTTGAAAGTGAGATATTTACTATGCTTATTACTCCTCGCCATTCAGCAGCCCGTAGAAATGCGATGGAAAATAGTTATTTAAGCTCTACATGGACGTTTACATATGAAATCGACCCTCTGTAGTCGAAAACACAAACATAAAAAAAACATGAGCAAGTGGGTAGAGCTGAATATCTCATGCATAATGTGCAAGTGATTTTTTTTTGCCAGGTGACTGAAACAGTCTAGAGGATCGGATGATTCAACAGTGCATTCCTAGAAGTCACTATAATCTCTTAGTTCTTGACAGTGAATTCAATCAGGCACATTTCATCAGTAACAAATGGCAAAAGCCGTTCACAGTCTCTTTGTTGTAATCAAATTTTCCCTTTGCATCTGTCCCTGGTTAAAAAGGATATGTTAAGGGCTACTACACCGAAATTTCGGTGCTTATTTTTTAGTCTATAGGTGTTCAAAAAAGCAGTATCACATCGTACACACCAGTATCTTGTTAAAAGAGACACGAAAAGGAATTTTAAAACTAATTAAACGATTAGCAAAGAGCGCCTCGTGGATGTCACTAACGCCTCGATTGTAATGCCCGTCTAGGAACCTTGAAAGGTAGCGACGGTTATTGTCTCGCCTACGGCCACGACGAGAGGAGAGGAAGAACGAACACCCCTTTTCACGAGAATCCCTTTTGTGTGACCCAGAAGTCGCGATTCTCGCCCTACAGGATCATAGAAGATTAACCCGTCACTCAAAATTCACACAAAACAGCTGCTTTGGTGACTGGAACGACTAGGCCATCCTCTCGACGTCAGCTTCGCAGTAGCTTTGCTCGTCCCGAGACGAACTACGTCACGATTGCGTTGGATGTCACGTGCTCCAAGCTGGGCCTTCTCCGAGTGCTTGCCAGAGCGGGACGTGTCTATAACAAAAAATACAGCCACCAGGCTCAAAAGTGCAAATGTGCCATTGTCATTTACGGATATTGTAGATCGTATTCAACCTGTTTTTGAACACGACACATATATTTCAAATTTCGTTGAAGTATCCCTTTATATACCACTGAATACCAGTTGCTTGCTCTCAGCTTTCGTTTTATGTATGAGAAAGCCACAACAAGTGTTTCTCAAGCCACACATGTCTCTTCAGTTGATGCACACAACAAGCATCACATGAGCCAACAGAGCGTCCTTCCAAGCTGCTGGGCTTGTGAAAGGAAATGAAAGCGGCTCTTTAGTTGGTGCACACAACAAGCATAACGACAGAGCATACTTTGAAGCTGCTGGGCTTGAGAAAGGAAATGAAAGCGGCTTTTTAGTTGCTGCACACAACAAGCATCACGACGGAGCGTACTTTGAAGCTGCTGGGCTGGAGAAAGGAAATGAAAGCGGCTCTTTAGTCGCTGCACACAACAAGCATCACGACAGAGCGTACTTTGAAGCTGCTGGGCTTGAGAAAGGAAATGAAAGCGGCTCTTTAGTTGCTGCACACAATAAGCATCACGACAGAGCGTACTTTGAAGCTGCTGGGCTTGAGAAAGGAAATGAAAGCGGCTCTTTAGTTGCTGCACACAATAAGCATCACGACAGAGCGTACTTTGAAGCTGCTGGGCTTGAGAAAGGAAATGAAAGCGGCTCTTTAGTTGCTGCACACAATAAGCATCACGACAGAGCGTACTTTGAAGCTGCTGGGCTTGAGAAAGGAAATGAAAGCGGCTCTTTAGTTGCTGCACACAACAAGCATCACGACAGAGCGTACTTTGAAGCTGCTGGGCTTGAGAAAGGAAATGAAAGCGGCTCTTTAGTTGCTGCACACAATAAGCATCACGACAGAGCGTACTTTGAAGCTGCTGGGCTTGAGAAAGGAAATGAAAGCGGCTCTTTAGTTGCTGCACACAATAAGCATCACGACAGAGCGTACTTTGAAGCTGCTGGGCTTGAGAAAGGAAATGAAAGCGGCTCTTTAGTTGCTGCACACAACAAGCATCACGACAGAGCGTACTTTGAAGCTGCTGGGCTTGAGAAAGGAAATGAAAGCGGCTCTTTAGTTGCTGCACACAATAAGCATCACGACAGAGCGTACTTTGAAGCTGCTGGGCTTGAGAAAGGAAATGAAAGCGGCTCTTTAGTTGCTGCACACAACAAGCATCACGACAGAGCGTACTTTGAAGCTGCTGGGCTTGAGAAAGGAAATGAAAGCGGCTCTTTAGTTGCTGCACACAATAAGCATCACGACAGAGCGTACTTTGAAGCTGCTGGGCTTGAGAAAGGAAATGAAAGCGGCTCTTTAGTTGCTGC